AAGTACCAGCAGGATGCCTGGGAGTAGATTCCCTTACTTTTTTGGCAGGTCAGAACTAAAAGTGAGATTACAATGTGTGAGTACACAAATGCCGGTCTGCTAGAGCTTGCAAAATATTTTCTGTACAACAACCACATCATTATCTCAATTATGTTTTTAAAAGGACTAGCCTTTAGTGTAAGAAAAGTTGACATGTAATAATATCATTTAAACAGTCAATGCTAAATAAAGCGGAAAGGTTCTCCCATTACTTGCACCTGAAAAATGTGTATGTGTGTACACATATAATTTAACTCTTTAATAATTGTTAGTGCAAAGTATGTAATCCCAAGCAACACATTAAATAAAATTATATAAAATAGGACTTCAGCAAGAGTGGTCAATGCCTGGAATGCATTGCCTGGTTTCTTCCCCAAAAATTTTAACCTTAGACTGTCTACTGTCGACCTCACCCCATTCCTAAGAGGTCTGTAAGGGGCACGTGCATAAGCGCACCAGGGTTCCTACCATCCCTCTCCTAATATTTCTTTGTATTCGTATCCATTTCATGTATTCATAATCTACTTATATCTGTTATCTTATACATGCTTGACAAATTAAATTAAATTAAATTAAATTAAAAAAAATAAGATTGAAGACACGCATAGCGCTTTCCTTGGAGCGCAGCGCAACACGGAAGCTTTGGTAGATATCCTGACGTGAGCGTCAACGGGACGGGGAGTAAATCCCCCCCCCCAAAAAAAGTGTGCGTGTTCGCCTGAGAGGGATCATCGCGTTTATTTAATCAGCAAACGAGGCCGAGTCTCCAGTGTTTGTTTTTTCCCCAGGGAGCGCGCCTCCCCGCCACCCACGACAGCAGCGGAACTAGTTGGACTCCGAAGAAACCGGGACGCTTCGGAGCCTCGGTGAACACGCTGAGGGAAAGAGGGAGAGAGGGTGGGGGGAGGCAGAACCGGAGCAGCCGTGACAAACGACTCCGTCGACTTCTCGCGAGAAACTTGTCGTCGGCCATTTTGCCATTGATTGGCGCAGGCGGCGAGAGACGGGGGGGCGGAGGGCGCCTTGGCTGAGTGAAAGGGCAGGGGACGGGCGATAAGGGGGGGAAGGACGGTTAGGAGAAGAGGAAAGCGGAGGGAAGACCATGAGGATGACTCTCCCGCGACACCCCTCGCCGCCTTCTCCCTCCACCTCCACCTCCTCTTCCTTCTCCTCCGGAGGCTCTTCTTGCTGACGACGACTCCCCGCCCGAGTCCTCCTCCTCCCCCCGCCGGCCCCAAGCTGGCTGCGCCACTGGCCATGGTGCCCAGCGAAGACAACCAGCTGGTCCCTAAAGAGGTGAGCGCTCCTTCCGCGCACGCTCCTTCTGCGGGCGGCCAAGGAGGAGAGGCCAAGCGGCGCCTCTGCCCCGTGCCGGAGAAGCCGGCGGGAGGGCGAAGAGGCGCCCGGCGAAGGCCGCCTTGGCGCGGGGTGTTAGGGTAACGGGAGCGTCAGGCGGAGGCGAATCCCTTTTCGCATGGGAGCTGGCCGTGGTTGAGGCGGCCTCGCTGCGGGAAGCCCGGCAGGTCGGGCGGAGAGAGAAGCGGGTAGCTTCCAGCGAAGCGGCGTCTTGGGGAAAAGGCCTAGCGGCCGCTTATAAAAGGCCTACGGCAGAGGCGCTAGGAAAGGGCGATTTAACAAGGTCTCGGCCAGAGGCGGCGGCGGGCCGGAGGGTTTAGGGTTGGCGGGGGAGAGAAGAGCTGTCAGTCGCGGGAAGCCTGGGGGCGAGTAGAGATTTGAAGGGTTGTCATTCCGGCTATTGCGGGGGAAAGGGGGGGCAGACCTTTGGGAGATTATTCCCCCCCCCCCATTTTTCCCCTCAAGGGCCGCTTGGATAGGGAGAGGAGCAAGTTACACGCAGAATGGTTTTGCTGGCTTTGCGTTCGGCCCCCAAGGAGATAGAAACCATCCTTGGGAAGGCATATGATGGTTAGTATTAAGAACTAGCCATCATAAGTAAGAAAAAAATACAGATCTGCTCTCTTTGGAGGCAGGTGTTTTGCAGGTGTGGACAAAAGTTTTGAAGGACTGTTGGAAAGAGGAGCTTCCTTTCGGTTAGTTTACAGAACTGAGTTTTGTAAATTGGAGCGGATAGTGTTTGTATTTTTTTTTAATATAGGATTATAGTCTGGCGATTGCTATCGCGTTTATTTAAAATGAGTTTTCTTCTTGCTAGCGTCCCCAGGCTATGGCAGGGTCCTTGGAGTGAGTTTTAAGCTATTTTAATTGACTTATAAATTGCATTTACTTTTGTGAGTGCTACTGTGTGCTAAGGTATTGATTTTATCACAGATAGTTTTATGGGCAATTGGATGATATAGTACAGTAATAGGATTGGAGTCAGATTGGTCTAGTGGTGGTTAAGGTTATGGATTAGAAGTTGAGAGACCAGGGAAGCTTTGAGTTTTCATTCTGCTTTAGGCATCAAAGCCAACTAGATGTCTTTGAGCTAGACTATTTCTTTCAGCCTTAGGAAGAAGATACTGGCAAGCCATTTCTGATAATGTTGCCAGAAAAGAAAAGAAAAACGCATGGACTTGTTCCTGCAGTCATTGGGAATCAGACTTGATAAGACAATAACAGAAGTGTAGTTAGTAGTTGAAGCATGAGCAACCGTAGCAGTGTTCCATATGAACTGTAGCTGTCAAATTTTATCTTTTGAAGGAATCTTTATCTATTCAGCTTGTCTGCCATAGAATCACTATGCACAGTAAAAGATACTGTGATTTCTTCTGTGGCCTATATCATGTATGCTTAGATCACAGGGTTGAAATTAGGCTTAGAGGTTCTCATATTTGTCCCTTGTGATTTGAAAGTTCATTTGAGAAGACAAGTAATATTTATTATTATACGCAACAATGTGAAATCACAGCTGCCAGTTCTTCAGCCAGTGTTGGCTTCAAATTCACCTTGAATTCTTCCCAGGAACCTAAGATGTCATAATGTACTGACCTAGTATATTTTCGGTTCCAAGGAATATGACCTCTTGTAATTGAATGATGGAAATTTCGTCAATGCATAGATTTCCTAAGTGCTATCCAAGATATTTTTATATTAGTTTTAATTATAATTATGTTTATATTATATTAAATACTTAGTTGCTGATAATCACTGTAACCACCTCTGCCAATGTATGCCATATTTCAACTTTGATTTTCAGATCTTGATACTTTGTGATCTTCTCCAATTCTCTCTCCCCTATTCTACATTGTCTTGTATTATCCATTATTCTTTTCAAACACAATTAAATCTGGCGTTTTATGCTCTGAGACTTTATCATCTTGTATTTGATATGTAATATTATTATTATGAGATGGTTAGTGTCATCGAAACAACATGAATTTGGGTAAACTCTGGAAGACAAGGGAAGACAAGCATGCTATGATCCATGGAATTGCAAAGAGTTGGACAAGACTTAGTGAATAACATTTATTATT